AAAATGAAGAAGAAAGAAGAAGAACCCTATCTGCGCATAACCATGACTATGTTATCATCACTTATGATTGAGGATTCCCGACGGAATCCGAAACGTCAGGGAAATAAAACTCTTGCCCCAGTAGCCGCATCCGCTTCTTCTGAACTGCTTCCTGGAACTCACCTATTCTCTACTATTAGCACCGGATTTCTCTGCTCGGGGTCTCGGCAGTGCGGAGGTTGCCAAATTTTGGCGACATCGAGGCGTCTGGTGCGTAGTAATGTGGGTGTTCATGAGAGGTGAACTTTCAAATAGGTACGAACGAGAATGTGGTCAGACCCGTGGAAATTAACCAGCCTCAGTACTAAGCAGTGGTCTGCTATCATTGAACCGTCTGCGGAACCTTGAACTGACTAAAGTACAGTCAGTCCGACTCGCTGTGTGACCGTCGTTTGAGTACCACTTTAGCAGATGTTTGTTGCGGTGCTGGAAACATGTGTTCGTAACAATCGGTTGTGTTCAGCAAATTTTAGCAATCTTTCATTATTCTCACATCGAGAACCAAGCCCTAAACGGCTGTCATCATGTCGAGTCCCCTGCAGATCGCAGATCGCGGCATATCAGCAGATCGCGGCGAGGGAGCCTTTCAACTAATGCTTGCAGCTGTGAGTACAACGTTTACTTATCGCGCTGTTTGGCAGCGGAGGTTAATGCGTACACGGAGACGATAGAGGTGTTTGTGAAATGACCCTTTAATCGCACGGAAGTAATCCGTTCATTGTTTGCTTGCCAACTAGGTAGTGCATGGTTTGCTTTTTGCGAGAGGGCAGTCGCTACACCTTGTCTACTGGAGGAGTTGCGTAGGCCACTGTGGAATAGGATGAAGCGTGAGTGGGCTCCGGGCATCTTTACTTACCGAGCGCCTGAGTCAGTAATTTGGACTTCGGACAGGCAACCGATATCCACTTTTGGCTTGTGGTATTCATCTTCTGTTATTCATTTCAAACTGTGTGCTCAGAACAGGAGAAACTAGGCGTTTCAATCATGAATGCGCTTCTCGAATAAGACAGTGGACCCCTGATGGCAGGCTATCCTAAACACAGATTAATTGATCTTGCAACGTACTTCTGTTCTAAGTAAAATTTGAATCTGGTTCGACAAAGTCGGGCCGCTCTAGAAG